CGGGACGGGGCTGTGCGGGGCCGCGGCTCAGGGCCGCCGGCGGGGAGAAGTCCCTAAACAGCCGCCCGCCGGGTGTGCCCAGGGTAAATACCCGAGACTTCCGCGACTTGCCTCTAACTTACGGGACGGAGGCGCGGGCAGCCTGGGAGCGAGACCTGCTGGTAACGCTGGGCTGTTGTGTCCGGGAGCGGGGGTTTGCGCGTTGTCAGCGGGCCCTCGCTTAGACGTAGCGCGGCCCTATAGCGTGGTCGCTGCTGTAGCCATAGGTAATCGCAGGGCTCTTCCTCCCTCCAGGGTCGTTTAAGTTGAACCGAGTTTCTTGTGCACCGTGTTATGTAGGTCGGGTTTGCGCGTACTCCTTCTCCCCCCCCCCCTTTTTTTTTTCCTCCTTCTTTCCTTCAGGCGGAGGAAACTATTACAATATTTTGATTTCGACAAAAAAGAAAACACACAAAAGCACTGTAAGTCTTCCGCCCGCCCCCCCCCCCCCCTGCTTGCCTTGGGGCAGCTGAAGCTGACACAAATACGTCAGCTTTTTTTGGGCAACCAGGGAGGGAGCGATACTTCTAATTAGCTTATTATTAACTGCTCGGCTATATGCTCAAGTCATTGAAATAACATACCACGCGCAAATGCTGGATTGAAGATTATCCATTTCTTCTTATACAAAGAAGTTCTCTAAAAATGCAAACGTTGTTCAGACTGGATGATTATGTGTATGCTCCTTCTGGGTATAGAATTGTTTGCATTTGCCTGCGGTGCCAGTGCTGCAGCCTAGGGGAGCTTTGTGACTTTAGGTTTCCGCCTCGCGACAGGAGGAGGAAGGATCCCACTAGCGTGCCTACGTGGTCTGTATGGGAATATCTGTTGTGGATGGCTGAAGCATTGCTTTAAAAGGCAGCAAGGAATTGTTAAGAAAAATTCATAATTATTGTGCATAGTATTAAGAATTTTGAATGCATTAATTTCATGCCTGCTATATAGAATCATGTGGCAAATTATGGATTGTTGGGGGTGGAAGAAGCAAACAAGCATCTTGGCCCTAATTATATTTTGATTACACTCTTTTTTCTTTTGAATACCAAAAAACTATTAAAGATTTAAAAAATGAGCTACATTAAAGACATCTATAAATAAGAGGACTTTGCTGTGCGTGACATAATGTTACTCTAGAACTGTCAACTTTTTTTGTTCTGTGCATTCATAATTTTGTAGCAGGTTCTAGTGTCCATCTTAAAATGAACATTTTTGCCCAGCCTGAGAGTTGTCCTGATTTATTCTCCTGTCTATAGGCCTGACCATTCTCCATGAAGTATTCAACATAAGAAGCATATGTTGTCTCTCTTGTAACTTTTTTGCAGGTAACTGTTGAAACACTTCAGTGCAGGCTGGTAGGTGGAGGCTAATAGGATCGGGTAAATTACCCGAGGAGCATCCTGATACTCTGAGGTCATCAATTTCATCATTCCTCTTTCCAAGTTCCTTGCATTTCAGAACTACCGGTCCATCTTTTGGTCTTCTAGCTTTATTCCTTTCTCTCTGCCCCCACCTTCTGTATCATCTAGACTGCAAATACTGAAATAACCCAACTGAAGCTGAAGGTAGCCTTGCTGGTTAGGGAGACTTTGGGTGGTCAAACATGTTCTGACAGAGTTCCACAAGATAAATTACCCACTACCTGGACGACGGCGAACAGGCAGTAACATCAAAAGGTTTTGAGAAGTGAAGTAAGAAAGACTAAAGAGAAGATGAATGTAGCAGAAAGAAACTGCAATGCAAAAGGTCAGATTTTACATGTCATGAAAATAGCTTGCTTTTTTTTTTTTTTTTTTTTTTTTCAGATGAAATAATGGGATTCACAGTCTACATTTCTCACCTGAGGACATTTTTTATTAATGGGTTTTATGTTTCTTTTTGCTGTTCTTTCTTTCTCATTAAGTAGCCTGATAGCTAGTTCTCTTTTTTACAGCAGTAGTGCATACCTTTCCAGCAGTTACTGTGGTTTCTAGCTGACATAATGGCTCTAATAAAGTTGTCAACTCCTACTTGACCTGCATAACTGCTGTTTGTGTTGTCTATTTAAATAAAATTATTGATTTCTGAAGCATTTCTATCTCTTCTCCTTGTGAATATTTTTAAAAGCTTTGCTATTAACAGTACATTTGCACTCTTGCTTTGTTTCTCACCCTTTCTTGTTTTTCAGGTATTCTGGGGAGGGGAAAAAAAATCCAACCAAACAAAAAAAGCCCAGCAGCATTGTTAAGTGCCCTGCATGTAGGCATAAAAGTGTGCTTATCTGCTCTTCTGCCATATGGTTGTGTTGGGCTTAAATATGCCATTGGTGTTTGGGTAGCTTCTCAAGGTTGAATCAGATCCCTGGAGTTGGCCTGGCTTGATAGTCAGAAAGCTGCCCTGGATGTAATTCTGCAAGTCTTTACATGCGAAGTTGACTTTCTGTGACCAGAAGCATATTTCCCAAATATGCTGAAAGAAAAACCTTTTCCAACAGTTTAGCTGCATCTTCCTCATTTGAACCAGAAGTAGTGTTTGGAACCTTTAAGTGTTGCTTGGGTCTCTAAATGTCTGAAATAAGTACTTTCTGCTGAAGGCCTGTTACTCACCCTGCTGAAGGCCTGTTACTCACCCATTTTGTGAAGTAGCCTTAGGAACAGTAAAATTAACTGTCATATGTTGTTCTCTCTTTCTCAGTGTATAGTCTTCCAAGAGCACAAGTGAAGAGCAGCAAATCAGGCCTAATGTCCTAGGACAGAGATAGTATTGTACTTTAGGTCATATAGTTTTGAATGAAATTGTTCATGTCAAGATAAACTAAATTTCAACTCCAAAAATCTGTTTTTGGAAATATATGAATTGAGTTTTTTCTCAGATGTGTACAGCTCATAGATGAATATATTTCAGATTATCTTAGAGGATAAAAATCTGTATTGCTGTGCTATTAGCACATAGTTGAGTTTGCCCTGTTTGTAATCTGAAGTAAAACTATGAAAATAATTTCTTCTTCAGTAGTGAGAAGATTGAATATGGAAGATCAAAGGATGTTTTGGAATCAAGAAATGTAATATGCAGTTGGATATGCTTAAATGGAAGGGATGTAGTTTGTCTTGGAGTTAAGCCATGCAGTCTACTGCAGGTCTGTTCAAAATCATACCTGTGGGAATAAAACTGCTACTTCTAAGATCTCACTTAAGTCTGTACCCTTTTCCTGGTAACAAAAGAGATTATCCACCAACAAGCTGAGTCATAATAGTCATGCTGCCTGGAAGATAACTATGATGCGAGATGAATTTGCACATTTTTAGGACTCTTTATAGAAGGACTTAAGGTGTGGCAGTTTATTCTGCAAGCTGAAAGAGCAAGTATACCAGTGATAACAATACGAATTGTTGATGGTTAATAACAGATGGTAGAACTTCTGATACAATCAGCCAGAACAAGACAAGTCTTCTCCATCCTGACCCCACAGTGCCTTACTGTTCCCATGGCAACCTACACATTTTTCTGGTTATAGGAAAGTTTACGGAACTGAAGATGACCTGTTAGCATTACAGCTATAAAATAAACTTTAAATGGCAAAGCATACCAGCTGGAAGAGAAAACCTAAACTAAGAGAACGTGGATATAAATTCCTAGAAGCCTTGCCTGTTTTAGTTCCTATAAAATCTTTCTAAAAGATGTCAAGTACTGTATACTTAAAATTCCTGACAGTTTAAATATAAAAGTTTATAATCCATTAGAGTCCTCACTTAGCCTGATATGCAAATTGGATTGCTATAGCTAGAATGTGATTGCAGTGGAGGGCAGGAGGATGTGTTTGGCCTGGATACGGTGTAAAGAAGCAAGGTAGAACCTGTAGCTCATGGGATGGACACGGCCTTCAAGCTGACTTAGTTGTCAGCCAGACCTCCATCCTCTCTGGAGGGTGGGAAATGTTGCTTGTTGAGAATGAGCACTTGTGGTGGGTGCTCTGGAGGGCTCTGGAGGCTGGGAATACCCTGCCTCTTTGGTGAGAAAAAGGAGAACTGGTGAATCTCCTGCAAATTGTTGGAGGCTGAAAGCGCATGCTGGAGAAGTGCTGCTGCAGGTTGACGTTGTCCTCCTTTTGCAAAAGTGCTTGTCTTGGGGTGCCCCAAGCAGAATGTAGAAGGACCCTTAGTCTGATACTATTTTCTTGTATAATACAGCAAAGTTACTCTGTGGTATCTATACCAACTAGTTAAATTCAAAATACAGGGTTTAAGATATCTTCTTAGGATATGATAGCTGGAAGTGCTTTTGTAGATTAATGATTTCAGGTCATGGAAGCCATGGAAAAGCTTGAAAGTGGAGAAAAATAGTTTTCTTGTTATGAAAGAAGATCTCATCAGAGAAATGCAAAAAGATGGATGGCAATCAAAAGAAAGAAGAAGGAAATAAGATGCCCTGTGTGCTTTCCTCTTTGTATGCACATTTTATAGGTGCTTTTAAATGTTGATGAGGCATTATGTTTTCTCTTATTAATCACTAAAGAGTATGAAGTCCATGAGAAGTTTTATGGTCACCGCTGATAATTCTCAGAGCAGGCAGATGAGGTACTGCTCTCTGCTAGGTAACAGCTTGGTGATGTTCACGTGGACGCTACCCATACCCAGAGATAAGAACCAGCAGGAGATTTTTTCACCTTAATTATAACTTGGATTGAATTTATCAGAAAACTAAGTTTTATACTTTTTTTTTTTTCTTGGTTAGTTAGGAGAAAATAAAAAGGCTGTTTTGGTGAAAGGATATGGTCGGAGGACAGCCTTTTTTTTGTCTATTACGGCTGTGTTTATATGCTGCTGTCAAATTTGCATTAGAATGGGTGAAATCTGGCAGTGCTTGGGAAGAGGGGAGTTGCATTCAAAGGCCATGTTGTTATCTTCCTGTGTGGAAGTCCCATGGACTCGTGCCCCAGCAGGGGCAGGCCAACCAGACTGGTTCCGTAGGCATGTGGAGACAGAAGCAGCCAGTTCCTACACCCTGCCGCTCCAGGTACTGAAAGCCAGTCCTTGTGTAGGCCTGGCTGCACAGAAAGTCGGTGAACGTCATCGCTCCCAGGAACATCAGCATAGGATTTGCAGATATGATTGTAAGATGTACAGCGATAATGCATGGATTTGTGGATTATCCTGTGGGAAGTGTCCATGTCCAACGCACGGTGACCAGTGTGCAGGTGGTGTGCGCTGTGTTCTCAGTCCCTCTGCCCCTGCCATTGCGCTGAGGCCGTGGGGTGGCTGAGGGATCCTGTGGGACTTTTCTGTGCACGGTGGGGCACCGTGTCCCTGCTTGGTGACAGTGACCCCAGCCATGTCACTGCCAGTCTTCCAGAAGCATATTCAGGAGGGCAGGCCCTGTCCAAAGGGTAGGAAAGTACATAGCTAGCATGTTCCTGTGCTTTATTTATTCCCTAAGTGCTGTTTCCTAGGGATCGCTTACAGGACACTGAACCCAGCAGGAAGGGTGTACCAAGCTGGCTCGGCACACTTTTCTGTGCATAAAGAGGGCATGCTGTTTTTCCCAATTCCTGTGTCAGATTCTGGTTGTTTCAACAGAACCCTCTTCAGACACTGATTTAAATGATAAGAATAAAATGTTTCTTTTTAAAATCTCACAAATATATCTTTATTATTTCTTGAAAATAACTGATTGTAAACAACAGCCGTTTACAGTAAGTCAGTGTATTTATATATTCCAAAATGTAAACTTAAAATGTTTTTTGGTTATAGCCTTTTCATTTTTTTTTTTTTAGAGGAGATTCCCTCAAACAAAATCATGAATGGTTATTACTTTATTACTTGATAAGTATTTTTTGTGTGTGATTCTTTCTTTCTTTTCTTTTCTTTTTTTTTTTTTCCATCCCTTCACTCTTTTCTTTCACATAATCTTTATACATTTATTTGGTAACAAAGGAGTGACAGAACAAATACTGCTCTCAGGTGCTTTTAATTTAATGTTCATGGGATGGAGCTTATTTGATGCTCTGCTTAAACATTCACGATAATTTATATCTATTAAAGCTGACAAGCGGGTGAATCCTAAGTATTGGCCAAGCTGTGCTAGCAGCTGATGTGTCCCAGGTCCTGAGCTTTTGGAATTTCTAAGTTGCAGAAAGCTTGGAGGAATTTCTCCTAAAAGAGAGTAATTTTGGCATCTTTGTTTTAGGTTTCTGTTAAGTATGGTGTACTTCGTGCATTAATACATTTTTCTGATGCTCTCTAACTTGCTTTTTTTCTCCTCAATGTGTACTTTTGATTAAGTAAACATTTGTAGTAAATATATATTTACTGACAAATTATAAAGGAGGAAACTAGACTCCGTTTTATTTATCTGTTTGTGTCTTTGTGTGTGTAAAATACAAAAGAGGTCATGAAGGACCTTGGGCTTTGACTAGATAAAAAATATTTATTCTTTCATATGTTGCTTGTGCCATTCTTGCAGTGTGCTATTTTTTTCCCTCCCTAAGATTTTTTTGCTCTGTATTTTGGTACACAGATCCCATAATGTTAACGGCCTGCAAATACGGAGCTTGGATCCTCAAGTATTATATAAACTGCTAATTTATCTTAGGCAGCAGACTGATACTGCTTGCTAGTAAGTTTGATTTGAAAGTGGTGGAGGAAGGGGAAGGGTGAGCCCTGTTCCTTGGGTTCTCTGGAAAGTATGTTCTAAGAATATGCAGTACAGGGTGTTATAAAACACACGTGCAACCAATAAGCCCTGCGTGGAGGCCAGGGCTGCTGGGTGAG